TGATGTTGACATTGAGAAGTATCCAATTTTGTCATGCTAGTAATAAACAATAAGTAACGGCGGCTCGTCCAATTTTGGCAAAATTTCCAAACATCACTCGTACTATTAATCCCTAATTGTACTCGCCATCGCATGATTACCTATACAAATGGCTGTACTTTAAAGCTTAAAGCCAAAATATCCGCCATATTGAAACGTCATTATTGCCATAGCAACAGCAGTTGCGTACCTTTTGTGCAAAAATCATCAAACTCTTTAGATGTTGCTTTACATAAGTAAGATGCTTTTTGTTTTTCAACAAGTAATTCTTGTCCAAAAATACGCATCAAAATCCATTTTAACAAAAAAAACTGTATTGAGCCACATTAATCTTAAAAGCAATTTGAACAAAAATTGCGTCAGGTCTTAAATAAAATCTTATATGTACCGGATGGTTCTCCGTGTTCTAAATAAAGTCATGTATGTATGTAGGAATGTATCTTTGAATACTGTGTAATTCTCGGCTCGGGCGAACCAAATGTACGCGATCCATTTATTTCGTGTTATATTTTTAGTTATTCCAAGTCCTTTTTCTAAGAGAATTTAATTAGTACTAATTACTGCTAATTTCGATACTTACGAGAATCGATTTTAGCTGGTTTTTCTTTAAGCAATTCCCTCTCAAAATTTCCTAAATGGAAAGAGAAAATAATACCACGATTTATTTAATTTGAATTAATATAATGCCATCCAATGACCTATTTATATATCAATATCTCTGTATTTCTGTATGAATATGGATATTAGTCCTGAATATGGACATAATCTCTATACAGTTACATTAAAGCGGGCAGCGCAGAAACGCGCGTGAATAAAGCCCCACACAGTTATATCAAAGCGGTCAGTGGACGAACCACTGACCGCTTTGATATAACTGTATGAAGATTTATTCTATTATTGCTATTATTTATAACTGTGATGGAGCTTTATTAATATACAGAGGAATAATATCCATATTCATACACTGATACAGAGATATTGATATATACTGAATAGGTCATAGTCGGGTACCCTGTGTCTCGCCCACCTGCCTCGTACGCTAATGATACCACTATTTGTTTAATACCACTATTGTTTAATACCGCCCACTAAAGCGGACCCC